CAGTAAAGAGCACGCAGACCCCTGCCCAGCCCGCACCCGTGTTCGCAGTGTCTGGAGCACACACTCTGAACACATCGGGACCCCCACCCCCACGAATTCGCCCTGTTTGGGACTCAGTTTCTGAGGACAAGAGTTCGTTCTCGGTGGATCGCCACACGTTGAAAAATGGGTATTTGAGGAAGGTCAACATTCAGGCTATAGTACAATGGCACGGTGGAGGGAAAACACTTTTCATTGTTTAAGAGTTACTAAATAATTAAACTGTCCTGCATATTGAATATCATTTTGAGAATTTGCCGTTTTTAAAAAAAATTATTAACCAGTGTTTTAATGAGGCCTCGGGATTGGGTTACACGGAGGAAAGTGAGGGGTTCAATAAGGTACAGCTTTGATGTACAGAACAATTATATAAAAGAAAGTAATTTATTATTGAGGAGGACAAAAGAAATTTGGGGTTATGTTAAAGTAGAACTTAGCAGTTGCAAAACTATGTTTTAAACAGACAACTTGATAATTCACATTTCTTTTTTCCCCTCTTAAACCGTTTACAACCTGAGAAATTTACTCTCGTTAACTAGTAAAACACCTCAAGGCTTGAATTAGACACCAAGTAGCCACTGATATCCCAACAACGTACAACCTGCCCCTCTGGACGGTGTGGAATCTTTTATAAGTACTCAAGAAGAGCCCCCAAAGCTCAACTAAATTCTATGGTGCCGGCACTGACGAGTGTGCTTTAAGGTTATCAGTCTTTTAAGCATCACGTGATTAGACAGGAACGGTAACTTGAAAACACAACCTGATTCTGAGCGAAATCATTTTGTCCTGTTGGCATGAAAATGTAGTTACACCTCCAACTTCTGCTCAGAAACAGACGGCTGCGTGTGGGGGCTGGTCCCTACCCAGATCAGTACAGGATCTTCAGCTGGCAGACTAGATCCAGCAAATGGAATTAACGAAGAAACTCATGTGCGTTTGGAAAAAAAGGTGGGGGTGAGTGCTGCTTCCTGATTCCTTTCGCTGAGGTCTCCTGTGATCATCAATGGCTTTGGCAACAGCAGGCAAGGCAAAAATAATTCACCATCAAACAGTCTTGACCGTGACATATTTAATGGGGCTAGTTTGAATTTTGTTTTAAACAATTTCCTGGCAGATGTTAGTCTTCTCCCTGCTTATCTCTTACAAGATTTTTTTGAAAATGTCATTTATAGGTAGCCATTGCATGGAGTTGTGCTACAATTAACACACAGGTTCTGGGACACTTCAGGCCCATGTAAATATCCAGTGTAAAGGATTCACCAGCTTTCCCGGCAGCAGCCTCTGCAAATGGAAGCTACTCCAGAAAGAGACATTTTTATTTCTGTAGTTGTTATTCAAGTCTTTATAGGTATGAGTTTGGGACTGAATTCACCAGTCCAAATTAAGGAGTCTGGATACATGACACATCACCTGTGAATAAACACTTAGACACCAGCCTCTGGCCACTGTCGTCACAGTTTTGCCACAACTCTCCAAATGTTTGTTTTAAATCTTCTTATCACCCTTAATGAGTGCTCAACTCAGAGACTCAAATTTAGCCTTTGAATTGGTACTTTAAAAACTATTCTTTTTTTATCATTTAAAAGTAAGCCTACTCCTAAAATTGAGCGTTTCACCTTTAAGGCTCAAACACTTCCTTAGGTCTCTAAGGAAGGTCTCTTAGGACTCTTAAAACCAGCCCCCAGCATCAAATTCCATCATGGCAGTAATTTGGTACCCACAAGTAAACAGACGGCTTGGAGAGGGAGATGTTATCATTCCTCAGTTTTCTTTTGTATCTAATAAAATGGAGACTGACTGTATGAAATACCCTTCTAGAGTTACCAAAATTGTTTTTTTTAATTATCCTGGACGAGAGCCCCGTGGTCTTGCATCTTAGAAGGGGTTCCAGGGGGCTCCGTTTGGCTAATTTTTAGAGACCTGCCTTGGCGGAGGCTGCTCGCAGGTAACGCTTCCGAGATGAAGGCGGGGCTCCCTGTCGCCTGCAACGGCATTTTACCTAGAATGTCCTGATTTTGGGTCCAAACTCACACTCTCCCACACCGGTGGGGTGATAGGTAGGCTAACAAAAGGCAAATAGTAATCAGAAGGGAACCCCACAGTTTCTACCAGAGGGGTTTTGGCCAGAAAACAAAGGGAGCAGGGGCTGCTCCCTCCTTGTCCCCTGAGCCTGAAATTCAGGTCGCCTGCGGCTACGGCCTCAGGTGAGTGGCTCAGGGAAGGGTCGCTGAGGCTCTTCCCAGGCCCCCCGGGCCTGTCTTGGGCCGCTGCCTGGGAGTGCTTTGACCTCCGCCGCCATTCCGCTTCGTCTTTTCTTGCAGTAACACCTGCTGCCACGGATCGAGTACACCTGACTAGATGTAGTCAAAAGAAAAGGTCAAGAAAAGAAAAGGAAAGCCCCACCTTTCTTAATTCCGTTTGGTAAGAGCCAGGGCTGCCAAATCCATTACATAATGCCAGTTCAAGCTGACACCTGTGCCCGCCCTGGAGCTAGATCAGGTTCTGGCAACTGCTCCAACCTGGAACGCCGGCTCAGTAGCGCCCAAGCCGAAGGCGAAGGGGAAGAGGAACGAAGTGTGGGATGGGGGGCGGCCCCTCGTTGGGGGTTCAGGTAGGGATTGGATTCTACAGGGAATTCCCCAAGGGTGTCTCCCTAATAATTTGGGACCGTGATATATATATATATACATACAAAAAAACAAAAAACAAAACAAAAAAGAAACAGCCGCAGTTTCGAAGTCCCAGAGCTTTCTCAGGAAGCATTGGACGCCCCTTGCTACTCCAGACTGGGGCGGGCTCCCAGGGGTGCCCCCTCCGGCGCCTTCAAGAGCGGAGGACTCACCTACCGCGGGGCTGCCTGAAGCTCTCGCTCCCTCTCCCGCCCGCCCCCGGGTGCTGTTGATGTGGACCTTGGAGATGCCTGCGGCGTGGCCTAACACGTGGACGCGGCCCATAACCCGCCCCGGCTGTTTCTTTCCCCTGAAGGCGGACAATGGCTTCATTAATCGGCCATCATTAAACCAACCCAGGAGAAGCCCCATCCCGCAATGAGGGCGCGGCAGGCTAATTTTGCCTACGGCTGAACAGTTGGGGCAAACTTGGTTAACACGCTGGATCCCTCTCTGGTAAAGGCCCGACCGTCCAGATCTTTGGGGTCCTCACCAATGATTCCATGAAAAAAAAAAAAAAAAAAAGGTCAGCGCCCAAACTCCTAGGAATCCACACTCTTCCTCCTCAAACTTCCTGCTCCCCGCTAAGGCAAAAGACCCCGAGCCGTGTAAACCCTCTTGTCAGAACGCGAATTAATGTTTCCAAGATTTTTTCTCAAAAGAATTAAGAGCTCTAGAGGCGACCCTTCCACTCACTAGGGCACCATGTCAAAGGGACTCGTCATGGCGATTTACAAGTATCATGAACGTGGACAGCGCTGTTGGAATGTAACTCGGGATGCAGTCTTTTAAGGATTTCGTTGAGGCCCTGGAGACGTGACTAATTCTTCCCAGTCCATAGTGGGAAATACTTATTGGGCTTTGGTTGAGATAAAATAAAATAAAATAAAATAAAATAAAATAAAATAAAATAAAAGCTAGACCCAAAGCTTCGTGTGGATCTTAAACACACACACATACACACACACACACGCACACACACGCACAATAAGCAAGAGGCAGTGACCTTCTCTGGACATCGCAGGCACCCCCTCGCTCCCGCGTTAAAATCACCAGATCCAATTCCGGGCGTCCGTCTCCACCATCAACCCCCGCCCCTTCCCCATTTCTCATCAAAAGGCAGCAGAAACGTCATATTTTATATTTCTTTTCTCTACATCTGGGCATTTTCTTGTGCATCATACCCTAAACAAATATCCTCCTTTTAGATTCGTGTGCGCCTAGGAAGGTGTGGACCTGCTCCCCTCTTCCCCGTAGCGACCGTGTTGGAGAAACTCGCTCGGAGGACCAGTGTGCTGCGGGGGCCAAAACTCACGCTGCCCAGCCTCGGAGAGCTGGAGAACGGAGCGGGGTCCCGCCGAACCTGCGCTCGTAGAGGATATTATCTTCACAGCAACTTAGCAAGCCCCACAGAACAAAAGTTAAAGCGTGATGGCACTATACCTTGCCCCGGGTTACTCAGGCGCCTGTCTCCCATTTTGGACATGCTGGAAATGTTGGATTTGGGGAGGTTTGCTTTGGCTGGGTTTGGGTTGTCTATATAAGCCCTGCTGGAGTACTGTACTGAGGAACGCGCCTTGATGGACTCGGGTGTTAATTAACGCGCGGCTAATTTGAGCTTCAGGAGCGGGAGGCGGCCGGTAGCGCCGCGAGCCGCGAGGGGCCAGTGACCTCTAGTGGACATGAGGAGATATGCAGCGCGCGTGAGCACGCAGCGGGAAAAACTCCTTCCTGAGCCGCTGCTCGCTTGTCTCCTCTGAATCCAATGCAAGGGAGGGACAGGAGTCCCCAATTTAAGGGAGAAAGAGCCGTCAGCAAGTCGTGTCGAGCAAAGACCTTAGCTCTTCTGATGTATCTGAAATCTAAACGCCATTTAAGCGCTCTAGCACACACACATTGTTACTTATCAATTTTTCCAGCGAGAGAAGGAGAACGTATGTAATGGGTTTGAGAAGTGAGCGTAAATAACTTTGGTTTCTGAACCTAGAGAAAAGCAGGGCTTTCAAAGCTCTGGAGCCACTAGCCATTCAGGGAAAGGAGTCGGAATGTGATTCTGTAAACAAAGTTCATCAGTACTCGTAAGATTTTTCTTTTTTCTGTAAAGTATTTAAAAAAAAAAACTTAAAAAGCTTAGTTGGGTCAACAACAAGAAAGTAATCGAACAAATGATGTGTGGAAAGGTCCAGATGCTCCTGAGTTCACACCCCTTAGGCAAATAAGAAGACAAAAATAAGAACAAAAGAACCCCTTCGCTTAGCAAAAATAAAACAAAAGGCTAGGAGGAGAAAATGATCTGGGTTTGTTTGTTTGTTTATTTGTTTTAACCTTCATTTATTTCATTAGTTAGATAAACTAGTGCAGAAGTTTTTGCAAAGATCGTCCTGGTTCTGCAAGCGACAAAAGCAAACCATTCACGTGGTAGTTCAGACAGAATACCGATTTTCAAAATAAACCAAAGTCTGCATTTTATCCCTCCCCATCCCACAGACTGCAGCAGACTGTGGAAGCTGGCGAGGCCCAATAAAATCCCGCGACCGCACAGCCTCAGCGCTCAGGGTTCCACCGTCCAGTAGAGGCTAAGCTGACCTCGCAGACGGCCGCGCCCATTTGGGCCCTTCCTCCCGGGTCTGGTTCCACCGGCGTTTGAGGATTTCTTAGTCTCTTTCTTCCCTGGTACTCTTTCCCCGAGGGCAGAAGTCTGAACTACTAGCAGCTAGCTACCAAGCTCTTGGAGCGGGAACTTGGAGGTGATCCCCTCCCCGGGAGTCCGTCCCAGCTCTCCTCCCTTCTGTGCCTGGCGGTTCTGCGGTACCAGAATCTGCCCTCAAGGGTTGGGGGAGGGGTAGATATGGGGGATCCGAGACATTGCCTCTTCCCAAACTGTGAGCACAGCCCGCTTGGGGTTGGTTTCACATCACCCAGGACTGGGGTTCCACGCCTGGAGCGCAATTACCCTGTTGCGCCCGCACGCGCCGCGGGAAGCTCATCTGGGACCCTCGGTCGGGGCCACCGCGTTAGTGAGGGACAGCCGAGTTGGGGGACGGTCTCCCCTGGTGGACAGTATAAAGTTTGGACCTCAGGGGAAGGAAGAGCGGAACTGGACGTTGCAGGAGGCTAGAGAGCAATGTTTTCTCTCCGAACTTTTCCTTCTCCACTTTGCGCCTTCGGAAACGGCCTGGGAGTTAACAGAGGTCGGGAAGCTGCTCTAAGAGTGAAACGTCGCCCCACTTGGCGGTGGCCGGGTCTCGCAGTAGGCTCGGGTCACAGGAAGAGGGGGTAGGGGTTCAGCTCGGCCGAGAGAGGGAGCTACCGTCCCCTCGTTTCTCGGCCGGAGACGTTAAGGGTCTCCGGTGAATGAGACCTCCAGGGCCAGAAGTCAGTGGTGGCTGTACTCCGAACAAGGCTGTCAGTTCGCAGTGAGGGAAAACGCGTAACCTGGCAGGATGAGGAACACGCGATGAAAATGAGCCCAGGGAAACCGAAGATTTCTAAGAGCTGTATTTTATTGTGGACCAAAGAAAGGACTGAGAACTGCTTAAGGGAAATAGCATTTATAAAGCCCAAACATTAAATATATATTACAACAGAAATACAATTTTAATAGATATAACTGAATTGTAATAGTTTAAGAAGTGATCTTTTCAGAAAACTAAACAGCGAGCAAAACAATGTTCAATTTTAAAACGCCCAGACGTGACTCACACAGCAACCGCCTATGGGAGAACAGTAGTTTTCCTTGACCTTCCCTATACTGAGCCCAGTGAGTTCCCTGTAACCCCAGAGCAGAAAAAATCCACTAACTTTGGAATAGAGTCAGAAAAACAAAACAAACAAAACCGTGCGGAACCCCAAGTAAGGATCCACTAACATTTCTGACTGCATTGCTTAACTCCATGCCCCCGGGAAGTGGCGCGAATCACTCTTGGCACCACTTGGGGCGCAAAGAAAGGACCCACTTCCTGTTGGCCAGGCAACCTCACACCTGAGGCGAGAGGACCTGAAGTGGAGAACAAACTGTGCTCAAGTTCCAGCAGTCTCCAAACCAGTCCAGATTAGCTTGGGCCCTTGCAAACTTGGGCACTCACCTTTGGCCACGTAGGTGTCCTTTTCACCCTGCCACCAGAAACAAAGTGAACGCTCTTCTCTGTAAGCTGGAACTTACCAAGGGCATACCTGAGCCTACCAGGCCCAGAGCACCCCATTTCAGCCCAAATGTGCCAGTTTTACCCTTACTGGGGGTGCGCACTGCAGCCTTCATCAACCAACTTCTAAGTGGGCACCGATGAGGAGCAGCTTCACGCTTTTTCTGCAGAGAGAAGGTAGAGTGAGCTGCGGGCGTTCGGTGTGGCCCTGTGACCCCAGGCTACTATCCCAGGCTATGACACGTCTTCGCCAGAAAAGCAGCGACCGAGTTATTTCCCGGTTGACAATGCCCAGCAGCCGGGCCCTGTTATTATGGGGTTATTAGGGGGGTCGCCCTCTTCTCTAATGGTTCATGTTCAGGGTTTTCCCCCAGTAAGATTTAGAAAAGGCTAGACTTGAACAGTTGACCTCCCAGAGCCTCTGAGAAACTGGCCCCCGAATCTTCTCCCCAACACTCCCCCTCCCACCCCCACCCCGTTGTACCTCAGCTGCTAGCGCGGATGGAAAGACTCAAAGACAGAGAAGCACCCCCCATCGGCCACCACCCGCTGGGAACATGATCGACAATCTTTCCCAGTTTCTTGTGGAAAATTTTCACACGTTCACACAAAATCTGGAGTCCGAGATAATAGGTGATGAGCCGTCCTGGGAACTGTGTCGCAGGCTGAGGACGTCCAAGACCTGGTGCGCCTCGGGTCAGAGGAGCTGGAGGGGGCGACCCCAGGCCTGGCGCCCCGGCTCTGCGCTGGGGGGTGGTGCTGGCTATTTCTCTCTGCTCCCAACTATTGCATTTCTTTTTTCCTTTGTCTTGGCTAGAGTTATACACTTTATGTGTGGGGCGATTTAGAAAATAAAATTGGACTATATAAGCTATTCCATATATAAAAAAGAACCGGAAAAGCCTCGCATTTTTTCTCTTGTGTTTTCCTCACTTTTCTTTTTCCTCAAACTGCAACATTTTAGTGCTTGAATGGCGAATGGGGAGAAGGACCCGCCGGAGACTGAGGCACGTAACGGAGGTCTAAAAGTGAATTTTTCAATGTCTAATTTACCCTTGAAGTCACATTCCATCTTAAATGACCACGATGATGATAATCTGAGCAGTAATATTGGTCGATTTTCCTGATCTACAGTGCGGCTTGGAGAAGTCTTGGGAATCAAACGGCATGAACTTAGATTCCTGTTATACAACTTTTCAATGAGGGAGGAGGATATCGAATACCTCACTCAGTCTTCGGGAATGGAGCCTTCAAAAACCCTTATAAGGCCAGGAGCGGTGGCTCACGCCTGTAATCCCAGCACTTTGGGAGGCCAAGGCGGGTAGATCACGAGGTCAGGAGTTCAAGACCGGCCTTGCTAACATGGTGAAACCCCGTCTCTACTAAAAATACAAAAATTGGCTGGGCAAGGTGGCGCGGGCCTGTGATCCCAGCTACTCGGGAGGTTGAGGCAGGAGAATAGCTTGAACCGGGACCCGGGAAGCAGAGGTTGCAGTGAGCCGAGATCGCGCCACTGCACTCCATCCTGGGCTACAGAGCAAGACTCCGTCTCAAAACAAAACAAAACAAAGGAGGAAGAAGAAAGAAAAGAAAAGACAACACCCTTGTGAGCCGCCTAAGAACCGTCCTGTGAGCATCTCATCCCCACACTGGCGCTGCCACCCGCACGGACCTTCCTACTTCGCACTGTTTCAGTTTCTCTATGTGCTTTTCAGCCCATCCTTGGAGTTGCTCTATAAGGAGGACTTTCGGAGTGAAACTCCACAGTGCTGTTCAAAGACACGCTTAATACGCCCCGGGATGGAGGGAGGACTGAGCTTGGACTGGAATTCCTGGAACAGAGGAGGGCTTGGGAGCTTGGCCCAGGCACTGAGGACTGCCTACTCTTCCCGAGAAGGGCACCTGGGTCGAAAGAAGGTGGAGCGGGTCTTCTGCAAAGGCGAGACCCTGGAGAACGCTGCCCCACCCCACCCTGTGAGCGTGGACGAGTAATAATCTCCCGGCCTCAGTTTCCCCCCTTTGCTTTAGATGAATTTTAAGAAGCTTTATTTTTTTCTAAGATGATTTTCCCTACATATTTCTTGTCCCCCTCACTGCCTTTCCCGCCCCTGCCCCCCAAATACATTGTATATTTTTCCTCCTACGGTGAATTTTAAAGAACCACAAAACTTTGCATAAGTCAGAATTTACCTGCCCATATATTTCGGTTGAAGAAGGAAAATTGTTTTTATGTGATAAGTTTTATTTCTATTGATTTTTAAAAGTTTCATCTGGAAAGAATTTGGCTCATGAGCTAAATAATATAGTTACCATTTACTTAATAATTTTTAAGCTCTAGGCATTGAGGTAAATGCTTTATATATTTTTTCTTAGTCTGAGAACAACCATGTAAAATAGGGCTTTCCTTCTGTTTTTCTTCATCCCTCTCTTCTTTCCAATTTGAAAACTTAGGCAGAGATATTAAATGGCTTTCACAAAGGTATAGAACTAGTAAGTGGAGGAGGCAGAGTCTGAACACAACTACCAAACCCTAAGTGGAAGCTCTTAGCAGAGGTCAGGCAGGTTTTCAAGTGAAGCTATAACTGCTGAAGAGTAGCCCTTCAACCTATGGTACTCGGTTGCCCATTATAAAGGAAAGCTGTGTAGTAATTTGACTTTATATACCTTAAGAAATAATCAGGGCAAAAAAAAAAAAAAAACCCTAAAAATAATCTTTAGTTGTTAAGCAATCATCATATTGCTAATCGTAGTACCGTTATTCATATTTTGCAACTGTTTATACATTATGAGATAAAGCAAATAGATCATTATATTGGTGTCTTACAGAACTGAAATTTTTCATTATAAGAAAAAAGGAGATACAGATGGATGATTATGGAAATCAAATAAAAATCTTATAGCCCGGGAAAGAAAAAAAAAAAAAAAAAAAGGAAAGCTATGGTTAAGAAGCAAGAGTAGAAGCTGTGAGTAGTTGCTACCACTACAGAAAGCTTGAAACAGACTTGTATTCCCACCCCAATCAATGCTTCTCACAGGAGCACAGTGAAACCTCTGTTATGTTAATTCTGGCAATCTCTATTTCTTCTGGGTCATACCATCAAACCTCTGAAAGAAATTCAAACATTTTGCCACTCTCTTTGACTGTTTATTTTTTTAAATCTGAGATTAGAATTGTGGAACACATAGTGGATTGGTATAAAGAGGAAAATCAAGCACCGGGAATAAAGATTATAAAAGAGTGAGCTCCTTGAAAATTGTTGGTAATAGACCAATCATGCCAACACACAAATAATTAAATAATACTTTAATGAAATTTCATATTTTTAATAAATTATTTTCACCTTGTTAGTTCTGTTCTAGAATATCTTTGTATTTAACATAAATGAGATAAAATTACAAAAAACAGACTCATCCTCTATTTTATATTATAATATGCATAAAGTAAAATTTCAAAAATTTAAATAAATGTGTCAGAATATTCATGGAAAGTATTCATTTGTGAGATTATGTACTTATTTGAATGAAGTGTCTTTTTACAATATATTTGGATTCTATTTTATTTCTCTGCTTCCTCCTTTTTTCCTCCTCTATCTCTCATCCTCATTTTTCTCCTCCTCACCCTTTTTCCCTTTCTTTTCCTCCCATTCATTTTGTCATTGGAATCTATTTCTGAGACACGTAAGAAAATGAACCTCATTAGTTTATTTTTTCCTTAAAATGGTATTTTTGGAAAAAAAAAAAAAGCAAAATATGTCACCTTCAACTGAGGATGATATGCCAATTTGAATAGCATATCCTCTGACTGTTGCAGATATTCAGAACGATGTGTGCCATCCCAAAGAAGGTCTTCAATGGCAGTTATTTTTTAAAATGTTGTTTTACAGTCACATTCGATTTACTATTAGGTTATGCTCGAATTAAAATAGTTGATACCATAATACTAAATACTAACATTTTAAAGTTATTGTTATGATGTATTTACCATTGCCATTACTTTTAAAACCAAGGGAAGCACAAAGTCTGGTAAGACACAATCAGCATTGAGATATAATCACAGCACACACAAAAGAGAAACGTAATGTATCATAGCCCCAGAAAAATAGCATTCATCTGCTTTGTAATCTCTCAGATTCAATTGCAGCAAGGAAATATTTATACTTTCATGCAAAAACACATGAGAACCACAGTTTAGGATGGCTACAATTTTGAGCAAAAAATAGTTTTGTCTTCATCAAGTATTATGTATTGAGCCTTTTTTGTTTTTCTCCTTCATCAACAAACTTGGCTTACTTTTCTTCTAATCTTTTAGGGTCCTGCTGTTTATTTCCCAAGGTAAAGACTAGATCATTAGATAAAATGAGCCCAGGCTAATGTATTGATGGTTATAAATGTGTTAATGTCCATATCTTTGGCCACAATTCCTTCAAGCTTTTCAAATCAGATATGAATCTTAATGAACATGTTTGGAGGGAATACTCTTTGTTGTCTAACTTCAGTAAGAGGAACATAATGGTACTATATAACACTCACTCTTTTAAGGCTGGCCTGTCATAAATGCTTAAATACTCATCAGTACAATTATGAAGAAAGCCCATTAGGGAAAGAATTGAAACCTAGCATATCTGGAACATAAGTAGCTGAATTTAAAAAATAGCTAAGACAGATTTAAAATTTAGACAGTAGAAGACCCTTTTATAATTCTTAGACATTAATTTTAAAAGATCATTCAATGACAATTTAAATTATTGGGCTTGTGCTAGAAAGAAGACTACTCTTCTCCTATGTTAAAGCCACATTCACCTTTCTGTTCCCAGAACACTTGCTTCTTCCCTTTATAATTGGCATTCTCTATGCCTGGAACACTTTCTGCAGAAATTAACATGATTGCATGCTCATTGCATTCTCAGGAAGCATTCCTAGGCCAAACTAGCTCAACCCATTACCCCGTCACTCTCTACTACATTTGTATTTTAAAAATGGAATCTGTAATAATCTGAAAGAGCTTTGTTTCTATATTTGTTTACACTTTTTAATATACTTCTCTTTATTACAAGGAACACCAAGAGGTCAGGGACTTTGCCTGCCTTACTCATTACACAGCAGATACTCAGTCAACATTGAATAAATGATTAAATACGTCTATTTGTGATATAGGTCATCTTTTGGATATCTCGATCATTAGCCATTCTTCATTTGTATGTACTATGCATACAAAAAAAGCACCCGTTCTGGTTTGTTTTCTAGTAACAATACATTTCGTAACTAGAAGCTAAAGAGTTTGGGAGAAGGCAGAACCTGGTTTAGAAATTAATGTAGATAAATAGCTAGTTGGAAAGAATGCTTGATACGTACACCATTTCTTTTAGAAGACAACTTGCTAGTAGCAAGGGATTGTGTTATGTATAGATTTTACAAAATATCAAGAGT